ATCTGTCACGAACGCTTTTTAGTTTTTTGGATATAAAAAACGGAAAAGCGTTTTTTAAAAGGTTTATTGGTCTCAATAAACCCTTTTTGATAGTTTATTAATCTACGACTATTTTTTACAGTGTAGTGCGTAATAATCTAAATTTTTGTTCACTTGAAAATCGGAGACTCTATTTCAGACTCGTTCATTTTCATAAAATATTTTATGGCACAAATCCCCACTCATATTTCAATCCAATTACATTTTATAAAATTAACAGCCTTCACGTGTAAAGCATGATAAAAAGTTAATATCCCGTACTTTTCTAAAAAAGTCTCAACTTCTTCCTTCATACTCCTAACCTCGAAGCAATGAAACGTTTTCTCCTTTTCGATAACATACACCGTCAACTTGAATGTATTTAAAGCATTGCTAAAAATTCATGTTAACTATTTCTAGTCTGTTAAAAGTAAGTTAGGTAACTATTTCTTTTTAGCTAGGTTAAGCTAACTTAAAAAAATGTTGTTTTGCTTATGTTTAGTATAAAAGAAACTTACTGGAAATAAGTGATGACCATTCACAGTTAAATTTCTCTAATTAAATTAAGTACACTAAAATTTTATTTTAAAATCAAAAACAGCAGAATTTAATTCTCTATAAAACTATATATTCCCCTGGAAAACAGACGCTGCAGTCGATTTTTTAGCTTTTTCGACATTATAAAACCACATTTTGGAAAAAATAATTATACTATCTGATAGCGCTCGGAGTTTAGACTATTGTATATTTATGTCTTGTCTTGCATTTATTTGCTGAAAAATAAATTGAGTGCAATAACGGTCTCCTCATCGTCAGATTCTCAGAAATTGTAGCGGGTGCGGCCGCTCAGTATTTTCTATTTTCTCGTGTTTTTTTAGGATCCAAAGGTTATTGTTATTTTTGAAAAGGTGCGCCGCGAAATGCTCTACAAAACCATATCTAAACTTTAATTTTAGAGCTTCAGTCAAAAAGCTCTACGCAGATTATACGAAAGACGAAAAACATAAAAATTTTGTTCTTTTTTTTCCACTTGAACCTTTTTCTTTTGCTATTATTTTCGTACAAAAGGGTTGCAAAAGTGAGAAGTCAGTTCTTTTTGTACTTCTGAATGTGTTCTTTCTCGTGATCTGTAAAAAAGTCTTTTAGAACATATGGTGTGGAAAAAACTAAAAAGCTAGCGAAAAAATGCAGCTTTTTAGTACTTGTGAATTGGGGGTACCTCCGCTGTACTTAAATTATTTTTCAGCAGATAAATGCAAGACAATACATAAATATATAGGATGAAAAGATTTCAAGCGCTAACAGAATATATAATTATTTTCTTAAAAAGCCATTTGTAAAGCAAAGATAAATTTAAAATACTAATTGAGAAGCCAGCGCTAAAATTCAATCATTGGGAATCTGATAATGAGGGTGCCTTCATTTCACTCGATTTTCCTACCAATAAAGAAAAGCAAGGGAAAATCTGAATATGTAAGTTGATAGAAAACTCCAGGCGCTATCAGATGGTATAATTATTTTTTCCAAAATGTGGTTTTATAATGTTGAAAAAGCTAAAAAATCGACGGCAGGTTTTGTTTTCCACGGGAATAGACTATTCTCTACAAAAAAGACGTATTTTAAGAAACCAAAAGGGTATTTCGTCCCGTCCACGAAACGGATTTTCGTTTTGTATGAGATGTAAAAAAACAAAATTGGTATCCCGACTGCTGCTAAACGGTACTCTAAGGAACCAAAGGGATTTTCATTTGAAAAAGGGTATTTCAACTTTGAAAATACCTTTAGAGCGTATTTCATTTCCACTAGGATACCAAAAAGGATTTAATAGGTTAGGAGCGATTGGTATTCTAAAGTACCAAAATGGTTTTGCTATCAAAATAAAATACCTTTTTCATGGAATACCAAAATTGGTTTTGCAGGATGCCAAAAGGGTATTGTAAGAATGAAAATACCCCTTTGATTCTGTAAGATACGGATAATTTTTTCAAAATATCCAGAACGATATTTTAAATACTGAAAATGGTATTACAGGATACCAAATTGGTTTTTCTGCTTTTCACAAACCTTTTTTAGCTTTTAGGATACTGATTCTGTGCTATCATTTCCAACTCAGATTTCTTTTACACTTACCTTTTACGTCTATTTTCATCATAAATTGCAAACTTTTGGCAAAATTTATAGTATTAACTCGTCCTTAGATCTAATTATGGTAAATTCTCATTACAGATACCTTTTTGTTTTAAGAACTTTTGAAAGAGCTGCGCGAAGTTTTGATGTTTTTGAGTCTCCCTTTCGTTTTGTTCATTGAGAACCGATTAACTTGGACTGAAAAGTTCAAATTGTGCTACGAATTTACAATGGAAGAAGAAATCTCCTCAACGTAGAAGTAGCTCTGAAATGTTTGAGGTAGCGCTGAAATTAAAGAAATAGTGCTAGAAAATCTGAAATACTACCTGCTATTTAAAGAGAAAGTAACGTAAGTAATGTCCCACCTTATTTGTCCAGAAGGCGTCTCGCAAAGAATGCAAAAGTATGATATTAGGTTAGAGCAAAATTTCTTACCCATTTGGGATGAAAGCAGGACACTTTTAATGCTTTTCCTTCAAAAAATTCAACTTTTCGAATATACTTTCAACATTTTTTTTAAAGTCATACTCATCTCAGATATAGTCATATTAGCTATCATTGAGTGTTAAAAGACATGTTAATTCACTAGTGTCAACTAACGAGTGCGGCATGAAGAACCGACCCTTTAGTATTTTCTATTTTTCTCGTGTTTCTTTAAGGCAGTAAGGTTGGTGCTTTTTCAAAAGACGCTTCGCGAAATACTCTACAAAGTCATAACTAAATTTGAATTTCAGAAGTTCAGTCAAGGAAACTACTCAAATTATATAAAAAAAGCGTTGAAAGTATATTCGAAAAGTTGAATTTTTTGAAATTTTTAGATATGTCCTGCTTTCATCCCAAATGGGTAAGAAATTATGCTCTAACCGAATATCATATTTTTGCATTCTTTGCGAGACGCCTTCTGATTACAGGTATTTCTTGCCCATACGTGAAGGACATTCCAAAGAGTCTTCTGTGGTTTGTCCTCCCTGCTTCATGGGTGACATAGGATAGAAGGTAGTGTCAAAGTATAGCTGAAAGCACTTCCTACATCTCTCGAAAATCGGAGTATAAATTCAAAGGGAACTCGCTTGAAAATGAGGGCATTTCTTTTTGAAGTTTTTTTACAGGAAATCATTTTTAAGTTTAGAAAGTCTTCATTTTTTTCGCCTTTTAAATATTTTGAGTAGTTTCCTTGATTGAAGTTCTGAAATTCAAATTTAGGTATGACTTTGTAGAGTTTTTCGCGGCGTATTTTTTGATAAAATTACCAACCTCAGGGTCCTAAAGAAACACGAGAAAAATAGAAATTACTAAATGGTCCAGTTCTTTATGTCACATCCGTTACTTCTGACTGTTATTGAAAACGTTTAGCTCTAATAGGTATAGAAAATGATATAGGGTGTCGAAATTTCAAAATATTCAAAAAATAGTTTCTATTATTTTATCTGACGCAATAATTTCATGTATTTCACAAATGAAAAGTGAAAAAATGAAGCATACAATAGAAGTAAAACGATTTTAAACGATTATTGGCGTGCTTAAAGCTGTAGATGAAATAGAAGTTAGTAGGTTATAGGTGCGGTGAAATGCCATTAGTGTAGATAACAAATTTAAAATGACCGATGTATTAGAATAAATAATACTGACAGCTGCAACATAATAAAATAGATGATGAAATGATATTAAAAAGGTGTAATGATCCATAGTCTTACTTGTGTTACACGTTGGAGGGAGTCTATACATAAAATAATAGGTTTCAGAATTTTGTTGATATCGTACAGTTGGTGTTGATTTATTCGATGTACTAGTAAACATATTTACAACTCGATTACGAAATGTTTGGGCACAGACATTAGTTGGACATAATGAACTATCCATTATTATGTGCAGATCACAGGTTAAAATCATTGTTTCAGATATGACGCCACGTTGATCGATATTTCTGGACAAGCTAGAAAGAAAAAAAAAGATGATAAAATTATTTTCGACAAATTATTAATGACATACGATTTTCGCTGTCGTCTGGAATTTGTTGAATGAATAATGGAATTATTTAATGTCACAACGGAGCCTACCAGATTCGGATCAGTTTGCATCATGAAAGTAAGCTATGAAAAAATGGTCACTTCAAGATATATTCTTGCTATGAAATAATATATCAACCAGAGATCGTCAGAGCTCGACTGACCTGACCTATGACTAAGATCTGTCTCAATTAGATCTTGACCTGAAAAACGAACCTATAACCTGTGACATGGATCCAGCGATTTCAGACCTTGACCTTGATCTAACCTGAACATAAACTTGAATGTATGATTTAGACCTGGACCTAAGGCCCGAAGTGAACTTTCCAGCCTAATGCAAATAATTTAGGTTATGCGCAGATCATAGGTCCATTTTTCAGGTCCAAGTCTGATAGAGACACAGGCTTCGTCATAGCAAAAATCAAAAAGTAGGAGTAGGAGTAGGATTTTGAAGCCCGTTATTGTGGGATTTATACCAAAAAGTAGGTAAAGTAGCTTTTAGCTTTTAAGAGAAGCTCCGCCACAGCACCGACCATGCTGTCTGGGGGAAAATTTTATTTTATTCTCATTTATGTCTCATTCGAAGAAAAAACGTGTATTTTCACAAATTTTTGTATTTTCCTATTTTCTGAAAAACTATCAAACTCCTATGATTCGTTCATAGCTCATTTGAAAGAGAAATGTTTACTCTATAAGATCATATATTTAGACATAATAATATGTTTAACTATCTAGGACTAAATAATAGAAAACTAAGATATTCCATATTCGTAAATTTGCATTTTTCTCTCAATACTTTTTAGATATAAACCATGCGTATGGCGGTCCCAAAGTAAAGCTCACTTCATTTTGTAGAGCAGGCAATTCTGTATCGATTTATATGTAATAAAATGTTTTAAAACACTAGGACGATGCACTCTAAATCAAATATTGGAGACAGGTATAGATTTCATCGTTTTCTTACTTTTCTAAATTTTGATACAAATCTCAAAGATCTGGACATACAAACTATTTTTGAGTCATTACAGATGTAGAACAAACATTTTGCTACAAAATGAGATGTCGACGAGCCCTGTGCGATGTTTTTTTATGATTTAAATTCTTTTCTCCTAACCGTCTAAAAGTCATATATGAATTCACTCAGGGTACATTTCAGGAGCTTGTCTAACTTTGTTTCTAAAAAAGATCTATTTTAAACAGTTAGGAGAAAAGAATTTAAATCAAGTTTTGACATGAGTAGCTAGCATTGAGTCATGTGCAGTTTTTAAAGGCAAAACTAAAAAAGGTTCACTTGTGAAAAGTGGGAGAAAAATGTCTTTTTGTCTGTGAATTTACTAATAACACAGAAAATTAAAAAAGTAGGAAAAGTAGGAGAAAATCCAGAAAGGAGGACATAGTAGGACGGTTTTACAGAAAAGTAGGACGTTTACGAAGCCTGAGACAGGTCCTAATCCCGATCCATCTCTGACTTGCTCGTCTTTAAGAATTAGATTAAACTGCTTAGAGATTAATATGTTTAATTGAAGCTTTATTACACGTTTGGACCTGTCAGGTCATAGGTCCAGGTTCGGATCTACCATCTCTGATATCGACATACCGCAGCTTCTAAAGCTAGAGTATTATTATTATTTAACAGTTCACTATTTAAATTTCTTGCGTTAAGATTAAACGTTAAAACATAACCGAACACATAAACATCTAAAACACGATGAGCCGATTGATTGGTTAAAGAAATTAAAGTACAAAGCATTTACTTGTTATTGGAATAGAAATTCCTGCTGAAGTTTTGTTTTTCAATAAATAGAGAGGTATTAGAGATAAAACGATAGTGATAACAAGAATGAAACCAATCAAAAACAAGCCAGCTAAAATTGTTCCATTTTTCGAATAGACTTCGACTCGTCTAAAAAAAACGATATATGTTCGTAACTAGTGTGCATATTTATTAAGTATTTAACCTTGAAGTATTCGCTTTTGGAATCCAATTCTCACCAAATCGAGTATTGTACATGTTAAGATGATCACGATGGTTAGTTATAACATCTACTTTCTTAAAGAATGATGAGTTACAATTTCTGTCGTAAATAGGTGATGTGCTAAAATATAAATAAACAAAAAAGAAATATAGCTTAATGTGACCCTGTTAACCGATGACATGACATGTTGTAAAACCGCACAGAATACACTATATAATTAGTCTCATTCAGTCCTCTCTAGATGATAACCACACTGTAAAAAATAAAGTGCTACAAAAAGTATTTTTTATGAAAACTGTTTTGCTATAAAGCGCATGGCTAAACATAGCCCTTTCAGGTATAGAGAAAATAAACCACTTTTGATTTGCTGTAAACTAGAGCACTTCGTGAAAAAACGCGCTTTCAAAATGATTGCAAAGAGAGCATTTTTAAAAATGTATAGTAGAAAGATGCTTTTGAAGTGATCCAAGATAAAACACTGTGATAAACAGTGTGACATGAAGCATTTTTTTGAAAAGACACTTTTTAAAGTCATGTAACAAGTCATTCACCTCTCTTTTTTTGCTATTACTACTAGTATATATGTAACACTAATTTTCTTCGAATAAGTTAGAAATTTTTCTCTTGAAGACTATATAAGTCATCGAAGCTTGTCTCAAAGAAGTAGCCTTAGCCTATGGATTAATATTAGTGATAGTATCAGGCTTTTGAGACTAGTACTAAGAATAGTTCCATGGTTCAAAGGAACCAAAAATTAACAAAATTAGAAAATCATATTTAAAAGTTTAAAATCAAATATAATGAAATTCGACAAATGTCGTTCGAAAAGTGACCTAGAGAAGAGCACTTTCAAAAGCGATCTTTTGTAGTGGCGCTGATCCTATTTATAGTGATCTTTATTTAGTTTACTTTTCAAGTGATCACTGGTGAGCGCTTTCCAAGCGGTTTTCATTAAAGCACTTTTCAAAATGTTCTCCGGTCAAACACTTCAAAAGCACGGCAAAACAAGACCGCTACAAATAGGATCAGCACCAACAGAGAGAGCTTTCTTTTTTACAGTGCATTCAGTATGCATATCACGTCTTATTAATATGACTTATAAATTATCAGTAAATTCAAAAAAATCAGACCTATGTTTAAAGGGCCACCAATTTTCTTGGATAATGTGGGCGAGTTAGAAGATAGATACATTCAACTTCAATAATGATTGGATAATTTCACGAAAAACAATTTTGAAATGCTTTATTAAAGTTGTTTTTTGGAATATTTAGTGACCGACGTTAGTAATTCGAAAGATGTCATACAAATATTTTCGATTTCTTTCATAGATATATAAACCAAAGTGTCCTCTTCAAAATTTGAGTCATCAGAACTCATCATCTATCATTGTTTTTGCATGGCATCGGATTTTTTCTGCGGATTTGAAATCACTTTTCTAAAAGTAGCTTGCAAGTTGTTTACCGGGACATCTTGACAACCAAATGATTAGAGCCAAATGTCTGTTCTTATTCTATCATTTTATTGAGAAAAACAACAACTACACCTTCATTTGAAAAGGATGTTAGTCTGTTGACATTTAATGTAATTGTCCGTTAGTAAAAATCAGAGACAGATTGCACTCTCGTAAAAAAGAATGATGAAAAAAGTACTTTGAGGAGAAAAATATTTTTCGATAGGCTCAAAATTTTGAGTATCCAAAGATAGGATATATAGCGCGAGTCATTAAGTGCTCGAAAAGATCAATTTGTTGATTCATCAATCAAAAGTCTGGTTGAGCTTCCACCATACATTCCCATTCAATTATAATCAATGGAACAGACAGTCAGTTTGTCTGTCACTTTTAAGTATAGAATGAGAGTTAACAGATGTAAAAAATAAAAATATAGACTGTCAACGATTTGCACAAATTATTAATTTACGTGGAAGATAATTGAAGATAATAATTTGATAGATGAAGAATGACAGTTAAACGTAATATTTGTCAACGAATATCATTAAACTAATTTTTCTGTTATAACATTCTTTTTATTTTTTAATTTTTGATTCGTCTTGTCACACCTGATTGATTCCATACATATAACATTTATTATGAGTGTCAATTAATGTTATTTCGAAACAAAATTAGAAGTAGAGCACAATCTTTTCATTACTCGTGTATGATAATCAGGTATTAGTTTTAATACAAATTTCGTCACAATTATTTATAAATCGAATAAATGAAGATAATATCAAATGACTTGCTTAAAAAACTGTGTTGTGCTCTTTTAAAATTTTAAAGAAATTACATTAAGACGTGTAATTTGAAAATAAAGTTGTAGAATTTGTGTAGCAATGACATTCAACATGTATTTTACAGAAAAATTAATACCTTTCAGCCTTTTCCTGTTTGAAAAAATCGTCATAAAACGTTGAAGATTATTTTTCCTATATTCTACTTCTTGTTCTTTAGTTTCCTGTTACATAGAAATGTTGTTAATAATTAAATCAGATTCACTATTCCTGTGTAAATTCAGTACAAGATTAATATTTTTATAACTTAATGAAAACTTTCCATAGCTCTTAGATTTATAAACTCATCATATTTTTCATCAAAAATTATGAATGTAAACTATTTTTGATGTATTGTGAGAAAAATCTATTAACCAGAGCGCAACGCTAAAAGTCGTTAAATCCGATTGGGCTTCCTGGACCCCTTTAAACTATCCCCAAAATCTCATTATGGTATCTTATAGTAACCATTAGTTAGGTCTATCTGAAAATGTAATTAAATGTTTTAACTTTTATTTTATTTTGTAGTAGGACAGATCAAACTTGGCCAAAAAACTGATTTTTACTCTTGGTACGATATTTAACAGAAAATTCTTTTTTTGATCAATTTGAAAATTGACAATTGGTCCAAGTAAAAAAGTTTGATTTTAAAGACTTTTCGTAAAATTCAAATATCTCCGCCAAACTTAAACTTGTTGATCTACAATTTTCGCCAACGTTCATCAAAATGTTGTCATTACAATAGGTTCTATAAATAAGAAAATCATGAATAGTTGATTGAATTGCATGGGTTGTGAGATAAAAAGAACGGCTTGTAAGCGTATTCTG